GGCACGCAGGCGACGAAATAGTCTGTTTCTCCGAACTGAAGCTCGGTTTCCTGGCGCAAAGTTGCCTCGCTCCCGGCTTCTCAACCCTCCTAACCAACCTCTTCTCGATGCGCTCGCTGCACGGACAAGATGCGGTTGCAGGCGCCGTGGTTGCCATGGGAAACGCCGGTGTCGCGTCGTCGGAGACAGGCCAACTGGACATCCGTCCAAGAAGCCTTCCGAAGGAGTACGGGAGCAGCTGGTCCCCGCCGATGCCGAATGTGGTGCTTCGTCTCTCAGAGGGTCTGCGCAGACTCTACCATGTCTCGGTTAAGCGTCGACCCACCGTGGAATGGCACGGTGGTGAAAATCGTCACGGTTTCGAGAACTCGAATGCGCTTTCTGCCTCATCAGACGGCCTGGTGGCCACGTCGAAGGAACCCTGGTTCACGGAGTACCTGCGTGGCGTCAGCATGGAGCTCTACTCGGCTGGATTCTCCTCGGCCTTCGAGGGAATGACCTTCGTTGAAGCGGCCAAGGTCTGCATGAAGCGACTGGAACTCGTGCTGATCGCCATCTTGGCCCAAAGCACTGAGGGTGAGGAAACGGAAAACGTCGGCCAGTATCCATTTCTGGCGATAAATCCACCCAATTCGCGACACTCCATCATCAGAGAGGGGACCATCGGCTTCTTTATTTGCGACTCTCAGGTAAGGCCCGCTTCCCCAGTTGTTACATCCTGGTTTTTTGTAGTGACAGCCATCAAAATCACGTGTTTATTCAAACTAATTTGCCAGTTTGTTGGCTGCTCCTGTCGATGTCCAACTAGCATAACCAGATTTGTGCAACCTCGCTCATTAAAGCCTAAAAAATCAAATTATTTCAACACGATTCTGACAATTTAGGGATTAGTAGCAACAACGTAGGCACATTTCCAACGTAAACCACAACTTGTATATTTCTGATTCAAATATGCTTATACTATTGCACCCAAATTGTTCAAAAGAATGTAGAAGCCGCTGTCCCGACACCTTCGTGATCTCGGAAGAATTCTCCATCTGGAACTCACACGCACGGCCAGATAAACTTTCCAGCATGTGTTCTTGAACCACGCCGGGGCCACCCAATTAACCCTGGTCCGATTACCCTTCCCTGATACCAGCGATGAAGATAAAGATCGGAGAGGACGTGGACACAACCGTTTACTTCAGAATTCAACCTCGTTGGTGTTGTGTGTGGGGTTTGCGCGTGTGTATTTGCACCTCCGATGTGTGAGTCATACATGCGCTAACATCGAGACCTAGGTGTGGGGATAATCCAAGATAAATACTCATGCGAACGAGAGGGGAGTTGAGGATCCGTGCGGCTGGCGACATGCTGCGAAAAGGGGAACCCTGTGTAGGAGGCGGAGCGACTGGATTAAGGGGCATGAATAAACACGATTCACGACAGATGCAATTTAGTCGATTTCTTAGGTAGTTGAAATTGAAATTCATGAATAGAAGTAACGCCGATTTGGAGTAGCCGCTAATTTCAACAAGTTGTTCATTTCCAGGAGATTGCAACTCGCGCCACGAACTACTGCCTCCGTTGTCATAGGAACGTCACCACCTACGACCAAATTCGCAGATGCGGCTGCCGAAGCCACGGACTCCGTGATAAGATACGCAGCCTCCGCGATCGGATCTCCGCCGAGATCACCGACGGAAGCAGGGCGAGTAGCCGACTAACTCCCCAGTCGCCGTTTGGGATTGGTCAGTCGAATGAGTACCTTCGGCCTACTGAAACCCCCTGCTTCCTCCCCACACCCACTGCCTCCGCGTCTCCACCTAAATTCGAGACGTCGACTACGGATCTACAACAACTCGTGCACGATGGCAGCGCTATCGACATCACTGGTAAAGTTGGATCATTCTGGAGCTGTTGAATGCTCTGGCATGTGGTCTTAGGCCGCCCGTTGAATTTGGCCTGCGAAGACGAAGAAGACAGGAGATGATGGAGACAACTGTTTACTAGAAAGCTCAAATAGCTTGTGTTGTTGTGGACACCAGCATGTGGTCTTGAACCACGCCGGGGCCACGGAATTAACCCAGGCCCGATTACGTTTCCCTGATACCAGCGATGAAGATAAAGATCGGAGAGGACGTGGACACAACCGTTTACTTCAGAGCTCAACCAAAACTGGTGTCGTTGTGTCGTGTGTGGGGTTTGCTCGTGTGTATTTATACCTCAGATGCGTTAACATCGAGACCTAGGTGTGAGGATACTCGAAGATAAATATGCTAATGAAGGGGAGTTGAGGATTCGCGCGGCTGGCGGCATTCTGCAACAAAGGGGAACCCTGTGTAGGAGGTGGAGCGACCGGATTAAGGGGCATGAATAAACATGATTCACGACAGTGTCTTTGCCCTGTGTGTGTTTTCAACTGTGGCGTATGACTAATGTGGTCGCTGACCCATGCATTCTTGGTGAACTTGTAAAAGTACAAACGGCCGCCCGGCGAGATGAATGTAACTGGTAGTTGGGAGGGGTGGGGTACATGCAAGGGAGGGGATGGACACACCGTGAGAAGGGGGGCGGTGTGTTGGTGAATCAACAAGATACACATCAGCGTGTTTGTGTCGATTCGGCGATTAATCGCCTAAAAGATGGATGATATCGCGTGAACTACAGCACCTCCTTCTTCGACAGAACAAAGAACGTTAAGAAACCCGTATTCATGGTCATACTTCCAGTAATTAGGTTTGATTACCTGCCCATTCCATGATGATCAGAACCACGTACTTGAATTGTGAGTTCATCAGCTCTTTTCGTGGTTTTATTTTCAAAAAAATAGGCGTTTATCACTGGTGTCCGAAGCGCAGCCTTGCATCGTGCGTTTTACCAAACAATCACAGCATCGAAACCACCATGTCTGATGAAGCCGCCAGCAAGAGTCTGCGCAACCACATTCTCGTGTGTCTATTGGCTGGGAACAAGGCGCCACAACTTGGACTGCGTTCCTTCATTCTGCCACTGAGGGCCAGCAACATCGGCGTCCAGGACCTCCGACCAATCGTCTTTCTCTCCTCCTACGCCGCGGTCTCGGAGGAGTGGCATGAAATGGAGAACTTTCCCAACGTCTACCTTCTTCCCGGGTCGCCTCTGAACCGTCGAGACTTGTGGGCGGCGAGGATCCAGCTGTGCTCTGTTTGCGTGGTTATTGGAGTGGCGGAAAACCTGCAGGTGGACGATCCCTACATGCTTGACAAGGAGGCCATTCTGTGCTCGTTGAATATTCGCGCGCTCAAGATACCACCGTCTCTACGACAGTCGGTTAGTGACGACATTGCGGCGAGATCAAGCGGTGCGGAGATACCGCTGTTAACCGCGCTCGCGATGGACTCAAATATACACTTTCTCGACCCGGATGATTTCGAGGCGGACAACTCCGAGTTGGACATCTTTCTGACGGTTCCTTTCGCACGGGGTCTGGCCTTCACGGGTTCCGTTCTCGACGCACTGGTGTCGACGGCCTACTTCGACAGGAACGCGATGACGCTCATTCGACACCTGGTCACCGGCGGTACCACACCAGTCTTGGAGCAGTGGGCTGCGTATGGAGGCGATTTCTACGACAACCTCCAGGTCACGGACATCGGCGAAGCACACGTCAACGAATTCCTAGAGACTCTGCGGCGCAACAATTCAAGGCGGCCCACGATCGCGCAGCTGAGCTTCAACGACCCGCGGCTGGCTGCGATCATCAACGTCGCTCCAAGTGGCTCTGCATGTATCACCTTTGGTGAGCTGTTCTGTCGAGCCCTCGGCGAACACGGAATCCTCTGTCTTGGACTGTTCCGCCTCAACGCGGCGAAGTCCTCGACTTCCAACTGCATTGCCAACATTCAGCGAGTTGGATCCACCTCGACGATCACCAACAGACCCCCAGTTTCCCGCCGGCCGAGTGCCTGCAACCCTCCCGAACCCGTGAAGATGCGGATCCTCTTTGAGGAGAGGCAGGACCCGCCGCCGTTGAACATCGTCGACAGACTCCAACTGCCGCTTGGACCACGCTCGGCGAATAATCGCTTCGTCATCACGAGTCCCCCATACCACTTCCCGGTGAATGCTAGTGACCTCGTCTTCTGTCTGATTACTTCTACGTAGAGACATAGCCCACTTGTAAACCGTATTTTCGTTATTATTAACGAAGTCTAGAAAAGCTGTCATATGTTGACAGAATCATGTGTGAGAGATGCGGTGGGTGTGATCTACGATTGCCATGGGAATAGATGTGCAAAAGTCCAATTCTGAGTGTGCGTTTGCAGCATCCCATGGGCAACCTAAACTACCAATAAAATGGACTGAAATTTCAAATCGATTTGAGCCAATGAGATGGAGCGCGGTCGATATGAATTTGCAAAATGGTGTGCAATGACGATTGTAGTTGCTGGGAGTGCTGACTCAACTGGCAAATTAGAAGGGACAAGTGTACAATATATTTTATCCTCTTTGAATTAAAATTATCGTTCTCTGTGTCCAAGTGATAAATGAGTATGATATATATGCGTCGCATGGCTAATTTAATTAGGCAGCATGTAATGCACAGAGACATCAACCAGTCTCAAAATTTAATTCGTGCGATCGATTTCACTGACCAATCGAAATTTATGACATGGTTTATGCCGATTGGTTGGAAATTTTCACCAGGTTTTTTTAAAACCCTGCTTAAATTAGAGTAATTCATGTAAAGGGGAGCAATAATATAATATGATGTAATTCTGCCTTGACCGAATTTGCCAAATGGATCATGAAATGTAGAGGGAAAGTGGACGAGATAAATGAGGCCCACATCGGATCTGCAAATTCCCCAATACATTCACTTCGGATTGCACGAAAATCGATTTTAATCGGTTGACGCTCTAACTTCCCGTGTGAAGTCAATCTCTTAAATATTACCTAACTCTAAACAGTACGGTTTAATTTTAACAATAAGAAAATCGGCATTATTGTGTTATGACTTGCATTTGAAATTTAGTGACGACATTGCGAGATCTTAGAATAACGTCACTAGATCACCTCTAGAGTCGGGCTATAAAAACACCAATCAAAGACGAGACTTTCAGTGCTAAAGCATAGGAAACCAATCAGAACACTGACTTAGCGACCAATCAGAACATAGTGTGCGGTTTTGCCCAATCATTATGGGCACCATTTCTTTTATTATTTTGGGCATCTTAAGTGTAGGCAATTTCTAATTGACAGAGCTCAGAAATAGATTTCAGCGTTTATGTGACAGGAGGAATGGAAAGTACTGCATTTACTAATAAAACATCAGTAGTTATAACGGTGAAGCGCGCAAACACATAGTGACCTTAGGGACTGCTTTAATCGGCGTGTTAATTCAAAGTACTTCAGGTACCATTAGCGTCTTAACCAATGATTTCCTCAACCGCCAGAAATCGATTAAACAAATGGACTCAAATTTCAACCAATGAGCTTGCCGACATCTCAAAAGCCAGAAGAATTTAGGGATAAATATCGTTTGAAATGGAAGGAGTCTTTTTACAATAGATGCATGCGATTAGTAATCACGATAGGTTAACACTGTTGAGGTTCCGGTTGGTGTTAGTGTGCGAGGTTATGCAGTAGCTGTCGCTCCCTTTGTGAAATCCTTGGACGGTCCTTCGGCATCTCCTCGCCAATTGCTTGTGCGAAAAACGCCATTTTGTCCATGAAGGACAAATTCTCGGCGTTTTCTGGTTGGCTTATTGTCTGAAAGGAGACAGGTGATTGGTTAACAACTTTTGGTTGGGTATTTCAGTAGAAACGGTTAGACAACAATGAAGGGTTGGATCAACGTACCGACGGAGTCACGCGAACACCGGTTGAACTTAACGCCTGTTTTCCATCTGCAATGTCAGTAATAATAATGATAATAATAATAATAATAGAAAACGCGTAGTGCCACTTTGATCGCACAAAATTAGTGTCACTGATGATTGGTTAGCCAGAATAACGTACTTGCAGGTGGTTGGGTAGTGCGCTCATTTGAGCAACCGTTGATTGGTTTAGGCACCACTCGCCGCGTATGATCGGGGCGCGGAGATGCCGGCGGCGAGTACACCGCCACCGATTCCAGATTGGTGTCGAAGGTGACCGATTTCCGGCTCGCTCGCAATTCGCTTCCACGTGCCAACAGAGGGTCTGGTGACGGAAGTCTGCGGGTGGTTTCGCTGTATCGTGGCACCTGATTGGTCGTTCTCACGTCGGCCAAAGTATCCTCGTACAGGGGTCCTATTTAACAATGTTTTGGCGTTTTACTAGCAACTTTTTTGAAAATATCGGCGCCTAAGCTCTCGGGATAAAGAGGTTTCTGCCACCAGTTCTTAAACCTATCCAAACTAACCTGACTCCACTTGATACGTGTACCGCGGTTGCATTGGTGGGACTGGCGTCGTGGATGTGATGCTGAGACTTGCAGTAGCAGGCGTTGAGAAGTCGACAGTCTACGAAAAAACCGACACATTTGGCACAGATTTTTGAGGGGACAAAAGGCGTGTGTTTCAAAACGCATCAGCTTACGGGCTTCAGGTTTAGTGTGTCATCGTAAATCCGTTCTCGCTGTTCCCTAATCCGGATTAATTCGAGCCGCTCGTTCTCCAATTCATCCAATCTGAAACGAGATCGAATTTGTTTAAGCCAACCCAATACACAGACGGCGCCCAAAATTCTCTTTAGTAGGCAGCACATCCTTTGCTTGAGTTTTACAGATTCAAAATACGGACGAACAGATTTCGGCATCTTTTCACGATCAGCAGGAAGTTAATTGCCAGGCCTCAGTGATGAGATCCCATCAATTTCGAAATTACCGCTAAAATCCCCCCTGATTTGCAAGATGCTATGTTTACCTATGTGTTTTAGTGCAATGAATGCGAATTCAAAAATACCACGACTCACGGTCGCGTAGAGGAGGTTCCGGTGACAGTTGGTAGGTTTGGAACCAATGGTCGTGGCTTCGGTTTCGGCATAACAGGAGGCTGGACCTTGGGAATGCTTGATTCGCCAGTAGCCTAAAACGAGACGTTTCATTGTCCAATTAGAATACTTCTTGGAGCGGCAACCAATCACCAATGCCTGTTCATTTTCAATACTTCCGTTTCTAGCCTTGACGTCGATTAACAGCAAATCGATAACACGAATATGCATTTTAATCAAGTAAAACAATCACATTGTGTGGCTTTTGATTAATCACTACAATCTCCTCGACTAACGCACCACATCGCCGGATCGCAACAACGGTGCATTCAGGGAACGAGTTCGCGATCTGTCGTTCATGTGTACCTGGAAGCGGTACTCCACACGCAGCCGGTCTAACTCGCGCACGAGATCGGTGCTCGGATTGGCTGCTACCGCCTCTTCCAATAGGCGGATTTCGCGCGCCAACTCCTGCAACGTCTCTGATTGGCTGTCAGGTGCGTGTGGCTGTGGTGTGCGATTTAAACTGCTGGTGCGTGTGCCGTGAGTAGACGATGAGAGCTAAATAGTGTGAGATATATGCAAATTAGTGTTGAGATTGCCTTTGTGTTTAAAGTGCGTGTGATAGGCACGTGCAAAATTTCAAAAGCTATTATTTGTGCCATACAAAAAGTTGCGGGAAAATATCAAATCGAGGTGAAGTTAGAAATCAAAGTCCGATACGATATATACTTTGGGATACTCGTCAGTTCATTGATTTCCTATGGCGTAAGGTGGGAGTTTAAATTGAAAATCTACCCTTTGGAAACCGAATCGACCTTAGCCTGACCAATAGTAAGCGTGTGCATGGATTTCTCCGTCACTATGAGTTTTTTTTAAATTACCACAAATCCAGAACGACAACCACTTACCGATCTTGAGCGTTCGATCAGATCAACTCTCAATGGTGAGTTTTCCCGACTTATCGATCGACGCGGCACATAGTGGCTGGCTGGTGGTCCGTAAACAAGGTGTGGCGAAGCCGTGTCGCCTAACTGCTTTGCAAGATCAGATGGTTCCAGACTCGCAGGAGGATGGTATTGTGGAAAGTCGGCCGTCGGCCTTGGTGGAGGCGACTGACTGGGGGCTGCCAAATTGCTCTGTGACGACCAATAAGTCACGCCTGATTGGATGGTGCTTGGCTGTTCCGATTGGTTTGTTCGTCGGTAGACAGGAAGGACGCTTTCAGCGGACCCTTGAGGAGGCTGAGACAGGGGCTTCGCGCTTGGATACTGTCCTCCCCAAGGTAAGTGCAGCTCTGAGTAGGGAGCTGTCGAACTGGACGGTGGTTGTGGTGGTGGAGGTAGCTTCGTCTCGAACGATCTTGGAGTGCTCGGCTGGTAGGAACTGTAAAATGAAACGGACCGAATAACACGCTGATCGACGTGGTTAACATCATGTAGCAAATATCACCAGAACAAATTCGAACTCGCCGGCCGTACTGTGAACCAACAGCGCTTTTGGTGACGTCTTCCACTTGAACAGGTCGGACTGGCGCAGGGTTGGACACAGGTCGAGACGCTGCGGGTTTGTTCCCGTAGGTTATCGGCAATCGATCGAGTGGAGGTGTGTAGCGCGACACAAGCTCCGGCGATGGCACTCTAGGCGTCTCCACAGTTCCCGCTGGCTCTGTCTGAACCGCGGAAGCTTGTACAGATACCGCAGGCGCTTCGTCCGCTCTGACGCCGACGGAGGCGCTGCAAGAGAAATCAGTGCTTAAAATGCATGTGCTCGTCATGGAATCGTAGAAAAGTGTAACAGGCTTACTCCACCACAGTCTGCATGGCCTTGTCCGTGACTTCCTTGGCCGGCGATCCGTTCAGCGGTGACGTCATCTTCTCTGCAGTACTCGTCTTCTTTCTGGTGTGGTCGTCAACACTGGTGTTTTGTTTCCGACTGTGTGCAGGGATCCTGTGCTTCACAGCTTCCAGAATCTCCTCGCTCTCCGTGGTTGCCTCAGAGGGTGTGGCGTACACGCCTTCCGGTGGGACATCCTGTGTTTTTGACCCGTCCACGGCACTGTTCAAGACAGACTGTCCGGGATGGACGTTCTTTGCCTTCGTCTGCGCCGATGGCGATGTCACTGAAGTGGGGAGAAAGATGTAAAGGCAGGGGAAGTGGTGACAGCTCCTCAAAGCAGTCGCAGAATGTGGTTCCACGCCAACTATCTCCAGGGAAACTGTAACAACGAGGTATTGTTTTGTCAGATTTCTGGGTAATATCTGAGACAACACAACGAACTCACAATTGTTGTTGTCGCGTTGGCTGATGATCGAGTCACTGGAAGAAATGGACGCCAAGGAGGGCGTCTCGACGTCCCGTTGCTTCCCGCCCTGGTTCTTGATGACTTCGGCGTTCCGCTTGGCGTATTCAGTCCAATCAGGCGATTCGGAGTCGTCGTCATTCTTCGTCGACGTCACTGTTGGCTGCTGCTGCTTCGGCGTGGCCACCATGATTGCACTCGGCCGGAGATCCTGCTGCGACCGGAATTTGTAGTTGCTTAACGAGCCCTGAAAACTCGCCTGCATACACAACAACCTCTGTGACTCCCTTGAACGCAAATACTTAATAGTTATTCAGTAGACAACTCACGGGGGACGGTTGAAACGACAACTGGCCATTGGGTGGTGAGGGTCGGTGGTTGCGTTGTTTGGCCGTGGGTGAGACCACTTCAGGTGGCTGCCATACCTCGTCACTGCCGTCGTCGTCGTCGTCGTTCGAAGTCACCTCGTCCTCTTCATCCTCCGACGTGACCTCAAACTCGTCGGCCGTCGGATGACGCGCGTGGTTTGGACGACTCTGTGACAACGCCTCCACGCTTTTCGGCCGATAGATCTGCTGGAGGCGCGAAAGGTTAGCAGTTTCTGCTTTCGACACGAATCGGCAAGGTTTGGATATCCTAGACAAGCACACTTACAGGAAGCTGTGTCTTCTTTTGGGGTTGAGATAACGGCTGAACGTGGCTAAGAGACACCCTAGAGCCAAACTGCGGTCCACCAGTTTCACTATCATCGTCATCATCGTCACTGCTACCATTGGGACGAGCTGGTTGTATAAGACAGGGGGTTGAGCGTGTAAGTGCTCCAGTGGATTGGTAAGGAGTAGAGAAGGGAGGCGGAGTGACTCCTCCTCGCTCCGCCGAATTGATCAGAGTGATGATGCCGCGCGCCTGCGCTGCCCTCTTTGCTATCACCAGGTGCACTTCATTTGAGATGCGCGCCAAGATGGCTACCGCGGCTTCTGATTGGTCGCAGTTGACGAGGGAGGAATTGGCTATGGCGAGGATCTGATCGCCGGTTTCTAGGCGACCATCGCTTGCGGACACACTGCCAGGCACAATGTGGCGAATGTATATGCCGTAGGGAGCATTTCCTTCGGGCTGAAAGGGATAAATTTGGTCAACGAATGACCAATCAAATCCAAGTATTGTGGCGCGTTGCTTACCTTAGCGGCCACGATGCCTAGACCCAGTGGCTGTCCATTTTTTTCAAGGACGATTCGCTTGACACTGCTCAGCTTAACACCAGCCTCTCTCGCCAGACGTTCGATGTTGGCGTTCGCTGCCGCAGCTGGAAGCGTTGACGCTTTCACACCCTTTTTACCATCCTGTAAGGTTTTCTATGAAAAAATTCCAGAACATCATGAGTCACGAGGGTGTGATAACCTAGCTCCCCAAGGTAATTGTGGACATCTAATGAGTTTCTGAAGGTCACACGGCGACCAATGACAAGGTCGAACAGGAACAGAGTCATTCTTTCATAGACACATCTGGGATCGCCTGTAAACATTTTTGGCCATTAGAAAGTGGACATGACGGTGACGACTGTTGAACCAAGCAGCTTATGTAAGCAATTCTTATGGCTAACAACCAGGCTAATTTACTCGTTAGACATTTGCCAGTGGCAGAGTAGCCGAGACATTAGGACCAGCAACAAATATCGCGATATCGCATACAACAGTGACGATACAAACCACAGGACCGCCGGCAACTTTGTATTCACCCCGGTTTGTCTAGAAATCATATCGACATCTGGGCTTTAATGGGGCTGGGGCGACCAGCAAGCCAGCACAGTTGGCATTCGTGAACGAACGCAATTTGCAAGCGCGAGCGAACACAAATCAATCGATTTTTTTCATGAATGCACTGCAGTGGACAGGCAGCCACCGCGCGTGTGAGTGCTGCGTGAATGCTCGCCCGACTATATCGATGACTCACCCTCTTTTTTATTGATTTTTTGTTAGCAGTCGCTTGTAACGCACGCGTATTGATACGCACACAGAAGTTAGTTTACTCGATTTTACTCGACTCGACTTGACTGGCGTGACGCGAATAAACGGCTGGGTTCTCTGCCCACTCTGTCTTCCCTCTTCTCGGTTTGTGACCGGCTGTTAATTATAGGGTTTTGTGTTAGTGCTAATTTAGGCCCCTACAGGGCCTCGCGATCTCGAAATCGCACAATCTTGAAGTGTACACCGTTCTTACGCGATTCATAAAGTGACCAGTCCAGGCGCCGTTGAGAGGCGCAGAGAACGCGGCTTCGTTTCTCCGCACAAAAATGCACCCGTCCTCGACCAGCGGTTCAATGGCCTCCATGAAACCCTCTGGGACTCCCTTGAGACCGGTCGTAGCCGCGTACCCGTCTAGGGGTATGATCAGGGGGATGTCCAAGTCCACTGGCTCCTGTAAGGACAGTAGTTCACGGGTCTCCCTGCTCGACGGTGAGCCGTGCTTCTCCATTATCTCACGGTCGATTTCCTAAAGTAAAAACCCAAAAGTCGGGCGGTGATTGGTCCAAGCCAAAATGTCGCGATCTGATTGGTTGAGGTGATCACGTGACATAAAACGGGGGCAGTTTGACCACGTTATCAATCAAACAAAAACCATAAAAGCCCCCTATGAGAGATGGAAAGAGGAGGATGCGACTACACTACCCCGATGGAACTCGGCCGATGATTGGTTTGAGCCAAAATGCTACGATCTGATTGGTCAAAATCACCAAGATCTGAGGCACATGAAAAACCGTCTTCTGAGAATGCAACTAACCTGTCGAACGCTCAAGATGATTTTATTGACCCACTCCGTTGGCACGGGGGGTGGATCGCCAAGGTGCGTAAGAAGCCATTCGATTTTGGCGCTGTTAAGAGAACGCATTTCGAGAATTCGACGATGGTACGGTCGGAACTTGGAGCGGTCACTGGTAATCAGCTGACAAGTCTAAAGGCAAGAGCGTGGCTGAGTTAGCCGGCGGCAATCGGTGCCCAAGCAGCGCAGAGTTAGAACAGAGAAGTTACCTGAATGGGCAGGAGGAGATGGACCTCACAGACGGTGCCAAGTCCATGTCTGGAGGCCCATTGGTTCACTCGTTGAAGACGCCTCATCAACCGACCTGCGCCGAGTTTCGTCACCCACATACCGCCTCCCTTTGTCGGTGTCTTTTTCCCTACAACCCCTCCTCTACCCCCACCATCACCCTGTACGATGGAGTTGAAGACCCAGGCACCTATGGCGTGGAACACGTAGGCGTAGAATTGCAGGGCAAATGAGACGTTGACACAGGCCTGGCGCATTCCTAGCATCATGTAGGACAGACTTTGAATGAGCCGCTGAATGTTTGGATCCTCCCGCTGGGGATGCGGCAGTTCGTCAGGCGGTGGAACTGGTCTGTCGTCCATCCGGAGGTCGTCCTGCTGATCGTAGTCGCCGGGAAAGAGAAGGGACGGCGTGAGGTACTTCATGTACTCAAGGAAGCCTTTGCGCAGTTCGTGGAAGGCTGCGTCTATGCAGCTGGAGAGAAGATCTGATTTTGTTGCCGCTTCCGCGAGATCGGCGTCGTTCCTGATGAAGTTGAGGAATTCACTGGAGTTCGCGAGCCAAAAAAGAAGCCGGTTGAAGACCACACGAATCGGCTGCCAGCCGTTGATGTCGTTTTGGTAGGACGTTTGAATGCACTGACGTTAAAAATGACAAAAAATAAGCGTTAAATCAACAGTGTTGGCAGGCCACCAGTTATCGATCGATTGATTGACCTACCTGAAACATTTGGTTTCCAATATGGTTGAGAATGCCCGCTAAGTAATGGTCTTTTTGTTCGGTGGTTAATTGGACAGCCTTCCATCGGCGTAGACAGCACCTTAGCAGTGCGTAGAGAAGGAAAGATGGCGTGAGGACAAATAGGGGTGGTCGGGCGTTGCGATTGGCTCTCACTTCACCAATCGGCACAGTGCTGTTATTTGATAGGCTACAGGCTAGCTTGAGGATAGTGTCTACGGTATCACAGCAGGTCTCGTGAAAAAACGCGGCAAAGTCCTCCTTCGAACGATTATTCCAGGTCCGGTGACCGGATTCTGGCAGACAGACGTCCACGATGAGCGGGATTCGATCGAGAAACAACTGGTCTGTGTTCTCGTAGGTCGGCTGATTCTAAATAGAAAAGAAAAGATGTATGCAAATAGAGCAGAGGTAAGCTTTGCCTTTGGCAGTCACTGCAAACCCCACTGCGTACCCGAGATGATCGATTTCTGAACTGTTTATCGGGACTTCTTGCTCGACCTCCAGCCTGGATGTCGAGATCTGGCATGGATCCCTTCGGCGAGTGTTCTCTCGCCAGCGGTCTGGTCTTGTCCAAGGAAGAACTCTGTTCCACAAACTTTAGGTAGAGCGTCCGACCGAGTTGGATGATGGCTCCGTGGCGCAGACCTGTAGGCCGCACCACCTTCTTCCCGTCAACGCAGACAAGAGTCGGACCGGGCGGGCGTGTTGTGATGTCGAGCGCAGGCGAAATCAGGACAGTGGGAAGTTGGTCTGTACCCCCACTAGGGGTGACTGTGCTGGACGTCATGCTTGCTGGCAGGAGCGAACAGTGCACTGGCCGGATGTCCGGGAACCGGTTCTAGGCAGGTGGCAAATCAATAAATCGAACAGCCAGGTAATTAGGTCATCTTAGTAATTAATCCAATCCTGGTAGCGACACTCATGATTACAGCCAATAGAACCGAAGCTCAATAATGCGGATGGTTCCTATTGGTTGGTCGATGACGCGTCGCTACTTAAGTCAGTAAAGTAGCACTTTACGAGACTCCATTCTGAGGGTGCAACAAGAAGAACTCACGGAACTGAGAACGATGTTTGGGGGAGGTCCAACGGCACTGAACTGTGATCCCACTTTTATCGGTGTTCCGCCCTTCTGCTTGTCCCTCTCTGGCTGTATCAGTCCATCCAGATTGAACCGCAAAGTCTTCCCACTCTTCGCCGTGCCATCTGGATTGACTTCCACGAGTCGTGGAATCGTTCGCTTCACTTTCCCCCGATTAAAGGAAAGGTTGACGTAGTCCTGATTGGGACTTGAATCATCCTGCAGAGACAGGCTCTCATCCCTGTGGAGGGTCAAATGGAGCTCTGTGTGGATTTGTGGATACGTTGATTGAATTGTGCGGATCAAGCGAAGGGGTTTTTCATCGGATCGCAGGAAACGGTGTGGTGGAACACTGTAACTGTAAAGTGAGAAATGCACTTTCTACTGAACAATTGTAAGTAGGGGGTATTTTGTGTAAACGTACGGCAGGCTTTCGCCCTTAGCGGGCACGTTAATTTGTTCGAGGCTGTAGAAATCCGGGTTGTAGGGTTGATCGTAGGAAGAAAGGATTCTGCGAATTACTTGGGCCGAGGTTTCCGAGAGTGTTGACTTTAGCGTTTGGCTGGGATCGGGGAGATTGGCGGATTTCAAAAATACTGTCAGTGTCCCGCCTACAACGCGGTCAATTCAAACAAAATTACAGAATGTTCTAGATAGATTTGATTAAGCACACTTAACGTACTTGAGGAATCGATAGGACCGCGATTTGAAGCCGCGAATGCGTCATTTTCGTCTAACCCGTTAGGCAATGAGGCCGTCCGGACAATGTCTTCATCCCAGCTGCCGTCTCGCTCAACTTTGCCGTTTTTCTGAAGCTTCGCCTTCTTCGACGGTTTCGGAGTCTTCTTCTTCTTCAACGGCTTGTCTTTCTTGTTTTTCTTGCTCGAAGGTACTTCGAAGACCAACTCGTCCAAACTGCTCGACGGATTGCGTGATGTGGAGAACGGTTCAGCGGGGGGTTGCTTCAACGACGTGGCGCGCATTCGATCGTAGTTGTCGGGCGAATTTGACCCAGGCGAGGTCATGAGGTTCCCAGCGCTTCGCCATTTCATCATGTTACCGGCGCTGGTGTCAATTCGGTTCGGGAAATTCTGCAACCACATCAACAATTGTTTTTAGCAAAACACAGCCCCATCGGTTGGGGAATTCGCTGAAAATCGATCACGTGAGTACAGCTCGCTGAGCCCAACTGCAGGACATGGGTTTTCATTGGCTCGCTGGCGATGAGTCATCAATCGATACACTCGAGTACGCGCGCAATCGTAAACGCCCAATCAGTGATCCCCTTCTTGGTCGGGGGGTTTTCATGGGAAATTAACAATTTCAGCACGCACTTCTCTACCCAATCCGCCCACAACTTGCAGGGGGGTGTAGGCAGAGTAGACATGTGACAGTAAGGGCTAAAATATGCCCTGTTTGTGGCGTGATTCCCCCTGTTTTGCACGTGTCACCCTCGTATGGGCATTGGGCGATGTCGAGGTGCTCATGCAAATGAAGTATTACTCAACCAAACACGGTCACACCCAAGCACGGGCAACTCGCGTGAGACGCTCCAAACACGCCAAGTGCAAATTTGGGAAAATGTAAACAAGCACGACGGTGCCGTACGCGCAGAAATCGACTCAACGAATCGTCGTCAGACCATTTTCACAAGCACGACCACTCTGCAATGCCCCACACAAATTCACTTTTGCTTAGGCCTTTTTTTGGCGTAATTCAAAATCTTTGGTACCTCTGGGCCAACACAACTGCGTACTGCTTCACTGTTGCCATGGCAACAGCAAAACTACAGGACGTGCTTGTTGTGGAAGCACATGATTACCACAGTCCCCTCTGTTCAGCCACGTCGCTAACTTGTTTGCATATTTACGTAATGAGTGCGGTAGAATAATGCAGATATGGAAGCCGGTGGTTTCTAGGCATAATCTGTCATCATCCAATGAAATTACTCTCAAAATCTGCATTACAGACATTAATTGGCTAAGCAGGAGCTTTACGCTGTAAACAAAAAGGGTTATTCATGCAAATTATTGTCGTGGTTTTATGCAGATGACGGGTTATTTTATCAGTCCAAATTAGCCGCAGCCAAATATCGACCGATGCTCGTGATTGGAGGGTTCGAAAGTACTTCGCAATGCAATTGGTTAAGATTGAGCACTGATAACCATGCAGCGCAAACTGATTACGGTCGAATCCACTTTTCAAACTCGAATAAAAGAGCAGGTGCTGCGGTATTTTTGCAAGATTTAATTAAAATAATGGTTAAATTCGTTTGTATGTTCAGAAAAAAATTTAATTTTTGAGGACGGAAACGGATAACCTCGCAAGATAAAACACCCGGACAGTAGCGGAAGAAACTAAACCATTCGCTTAGACTCTTTCTGCGCTGTTAAGACTTCGTGCGCGTATTACAAACACATGTAGGTGTCCATGTAGCTTGCGCAGTTGTTGAGTGGCATGCAATTTTCAGTCTTGTGCGCAGATAGAGAGAGAAGTTGGTGTGTTTGCCGGTGCTAGTTCTCACTTCCCCCCTTTCTCCCTAGAGTGGACCAGACTGTTCAGGCCGAGATCTCACCACCGAACAAGGCTCACGCATGACCTTGAGTGAGCAAACCCAACACCCACGCGGAAATACAGGCTCTTACGGCAGAAATTTCCCCTAGCCTATAAAAAACGGCGCTGTCGGTACGTGGCGCTGCATAAGGCGTGTGAACGTGTGGGCCCGTGTGAATGTGTCATTCGCTTCGTATAATGATATGCAAGATTCATTTGACACGGCTATTGCCTTGCGTTCTCACGCACCCACATAATGCGCCTTCTTTGCCACCTTTTTTCGATGTTGATCGGCTAAAACCCGGTCCTTTGTCAGGTAGCCTCTAGCACACAAGAAACTTCGATTTGAAATCACGAAAAGTCACGAAGACCACTCGATTTCAATGCTTCGAGGCAATCAACTGGACATCTTGATGGCAGACATCAGATTCGCGTGGCAACCGGCCTCCCAATGTGGCATAATTTGAGACTAAATTAGTACAAAATGGGAAAAATGATAGCACTCATTGGACGATTTAAATTACCGCGTATTAAGTTAACTTAGGAAGAAAAGAGACCATTTCCTAATGAGGACAATCTGTGACGGAAGTGCGTTCTCGGAGCGGCTACGGTTGTTCCGGTTGAGCTGGGTAACTAACGTAAGCAGCCGTATTTAGACTTGAAACTAGGTTTTTTTTGTCAAGGAAAAAGTCGTAACAGGTCAGTTTAGAACTCGGAAAATTTGTAAATCTACGCTGTGATTGGTGCAAAAATGGGACAATTTCAAAATACGAACTCGTGTATGACCTTAACGCGAGCACCACACGATGAAACATCAAATGTTTGTTGACTGAAGACCTTTTGCGTGTTTTTGGATAGCAATTTCTTCTTTTTTTAAACAAAGAAAAAAAATTCCTTTAAAAAACCGCATGTTTTGATCTAACTCCGATTACCGCATAAGTAGCCTGATCATTAATTTTTCCACACTGACAAGTGACGCGAGGGGGGCAACAGTAAGGCATCCGCGTCACGTAACCGACACCGGGACAGATTATTTTTGGCTGACGGCTTTTTCAATCGGACACCAAACGTAAAAAGACATTGGGAGCGTTACTCTGGGAGATGCCTTTCACCTGATTGGCGGGGAGTCGACACGCGTCAGTGTGATTGGTCGAACAGGTCGACGCCTCATCATGTGTGTGTGTGTATGCGTGTGGATTAGTGCAAATGGAATGTATCGGGCAAAATGAGAAACCAAACTGAACACTGACTCATGACGGGATGACCACAGTTGCAGTTAGCTTTAATCTGTCTTGGTACTTATTTTGGTCAATCTATGGTTTAGTGTCCATTCGATTAGGTGCACAGGCATTGGTTAAATAAAGCGCCAAAGATGTTGTCCACCCGCCTCATTAAAACAACTAAAAATGGTCACAAAATTCCAACCGATTTTCCTATCTTCTTTTTTGCGGCGTTAACACGTTACCTTAATATCGACAGTGGCGTGGCATGGCTGTTTAAAACTAATATTTTTAAGCGATAATGTGCGACTGAATAGAACGTACACAAGTGAGCAGAATTTTGACTTTGTTATCAACTTCCATACGGTCAGACAATGATTTGGGCGCCGAAAAATGCTGGAAATATAGGCTAGATTAAATTTAGGAATGGATGAGCATGGGTTGAACCGAGAAAACGTATAAGGGAAGACATTAAAGGCTTGCCGAGTGTTGAACCACAAAGAAGATATCGATAGTCAGCACCCGACTTATATCTTGCACAGACATGGGTCATGTAATGTCCAAGCCTAAGTGCGTTATAATTGCCCTGGCATTTACCGGTTTTATTCGAAGAGTGTGTGTGAAAACAGCCGGTATTTTGTTCGTCGCAAGTGTGAAATGACCCTAAAATGTGCTTGCGGTTTTGTGTGTGTGTGTTTTTAGTGTGTGTGAGTGGAGCCAGTTTGACCTCGATTCCCACGCGCAACAAGGCGACACCAAGTGCACGCACGCGGATTACACGAATCTGTTGCTCATGACCTCATCGAGAGAGGAACGCGCTACTCACGCACGCACGCACTCACGCACACACACACACGGTGTACCGTCCGCGGTACTGCGAGGTGATGGTGGCTGGTCGACGGCTGGACCACGGGTCGACTAAATATTTATCGACCGGCACTAGATTATCCCCATGACTGTGACCTTCAGCGAGCACGCCACGTTGCTCTAGTTGTGTAAGAGAGATGAGGTGGTAAGAGGAACTGACCTTGGTGTCGAGTTTGGACTCATCTCGAAGAATAAACCGACCTTCGCGTTGATGCGACCTCCAGTTAATTTGCGTCATCAAAGGACGTTCTTCTGCACTCAGGCGTCTCTCTAGTGAATAAATATTTTTTGATTTAAAATAAGAGAAAAGGTAGAGATTGGATTGTGAGGACCATTCAAATCATGGGTAGAATGAAGAGCCACTGACACTCCTTATTAACTTATCAATTTCAATAATTTGCTTGATATAATAATAAATTCTTGGCAATTGCTTGGTACAGAAAAAATTGGCATAAAAAAATTGAATCAAATCAGACTAACCTCCAGTGGAAGGATGAAACTCGTAGAGGGCATATCGTCCCGATTTGAGAAGCCGCAGATCGGGATGAAATTTCTCGACCAGCACATTGACCAAGTGCCGAGCGGTCGATTGGCTTGAAATTCGGACACATTTTGAGTAGAACTTGTCGTTTGGTCCGTAGAAGTAAAAGCGAACTACTCCAAAGAATTCCTGATTCTAAAAAATTGTTATTGGATAATTTGCACATAAATTTCTAAATAGTATCGAGACAAGAATTGAAACCCAGTTTACATAAATCACAGTATTCTTCAGGTTTGATGAATCAAATGCCATAAATATAAGACTTTTGTTTGCAGAAACTTAATGGTGTCAGGAAAAAAGATTTGTACATTTCTGACTGATGCAGCAAGACTTTAATTATGATCGCTGCAAACATGAAAAATCGAGATCTTAAGGCTTTCTCTCGACAACATACGTATTGCCATCAATAAGATGAAAACACTTCATTAGGCAAGTTTCGTTGTTTCACAGACCTAAGTGTTGTCTTAAATAAATAAAAATTACAAATCAATTTCATACGGCAAAAGGCATTGTGACAATGTTCATTTTGCTTCATAAGAAAATATTACTGCAGCATAATTGCATTTTTATCCAACTTCAAAAAACCAGGCAATTGTTTAAAATAAGTAATTCTAACAATTGTATGTTCTAGGAGCAATCCAGTCACAAAAAAATCATTGAAAAAATCAAAACATCTTAAACATCTTAAACAGGCAAACTTCAATGGTGACAAACTTCATGATAAGAATAAATTGCGTTTACATTGAAAATAAACAATCAATTACCAGTAATTAGTGATAACTTAATAATCGTGTGGAAAGTAAATTCGGTGCGTGTGGGGATCTTTTGAAAGGGTTTGGGAGCAGCAACAAAATATTATTGATTCAGCACCGAATTAAATTTGGCTAGTAAACTTGCAGTACGCTAATTAAATTTCCCATGAATAGGAACAAAAGACATATGTTTCACAAATATTCTCCTTAATTCCACAACAAAATAAAGAAACCCTGAAACAGTTTAAATCGCAGGACTACCACTTTACCAAGCAAAAGCATATATTTTAACCTATTCTATGATTTTAAAAAAAATAAAACTGTATTATCTTTATGAAAAGATGCCAGAAAAATATTCACATTAAACAATTCGTTCAAAAATAAAAGTAAGTTATGAAAGATGCAGGCATTGCTTACCTCATTTGGTTGAGTAATTCGAAATAATTCTAGTGCATTCCTGTTCCAGTCATCTATCTTCTGTGGAATATCATACATCATTGTATACAGCGTCTGCCCGAAACTTCAAACCCTAACCTACTCAATAACAATTAATATTTACTAGTTAAAACACACCAAGGTTAGTTGTAGCCGCTTTTGTTATTTCTTATTTTGGCCATAGTTTAGCAAATTTATTTGTTCTTTTTAAAACATAATAAGCGTGGTATCTTCAAGTTAGTTGGAATAATTTCCCTTGTTCCACTTTAAGTTTCGAATCATGCAAGATGTGTTGTTCGCTAAAATGTTTTAATCAGTTTTACCAAATCTTAAGTAAAAATGCTCTTAAATTAGTCTATATTAAAACCGAGGACAACATATATTTGAACATTGGATGCGTTCACCATCTTCACGGTGTGAACTACGATATCAAAGCATTTGTCGAATATTATTGATATTATGCAGCTAATTCCATTCAATTTAAACTATTTTAATGCAACTGTCGAAATAAACGACCAATTTATTAGACAAACTTAAACTGTGAAGGATGTTTTGTGTAGCTTTAATCTGAAATTCCATATAAAAACGGAATGAAATGGACTTTGTAGTTGTTGTGATTATTTTCAATTTTGTTACTAATCTAGGCCGCCAATGACTGACAGTGTTTCTTTAAATACAGTTGGTGGGCCAGATTTGTTACAGAAAAAAAGTTTAAACACTTTCTAAATCTTTATTTAATGGAGTGCTGTTTAATATTGCTGTGATGGAGTGCCTATTCGCGTTATCACTCCCGATATTTTCCCAGATATATGCTAGTTTCAAATCAACGAATAATTTTTTAGTTATTCTTCATTTTATTGCTTAATTTTCACCCTCAGCTATTGCTAACACAATCTTCACAGTCTTCTATTAGGTCTCAGCGGATATGATTTTTAATAAACATTTTGGTACGGTTAATATTAAAGTGCTGTCAATTTCTGTTTGGTCAAATTTGTAACTTGCTTCTCAACTTACACTTAACGAATCATCTTATTTTAGGCATTTTGCAATGTCCCCAATGAAGCAGTAAGTTTAATTGCATGTGTGAGTTCATTATTCTTTTCTAATCAAGTTTGAATCAAACCTTGAAGGTAAAATCTTCGTAGGGATACTTACATGTGATGTCGAACAATTCTTTTTTGTTTGTAAAGCCTCTTTAAAACATTCCAGGCGTTTTCTTTTTAAAAATGAGTTTTTTCACAAGATTAAATAAAGAGTGCTGTAGTACGTAAATATGCGCCAAACACACATCAATACATGTACGTTTATTTTAACTAAACGACAATTTGTGAGAATAACTAAAACCATTTTTTAATATTTCGTTCAGATTGAGGAACCAAACCACTGCCAATGGGCCTGCCAACGGTGCCTTTTTAATTATAAAAGCATTATTCCCCCACAACCATAGGTTTTTTTAGAAATATTACTCAATTCCGGTGTCCATAATTAGTCAAATAATTTTCCTCAATTTATTACAGGTTGCAATGTCAATCCACCGAAATCAGCAGTAACTTCCATCATGACAGAAGTTTCGGGCAGAATTATCGTGTTTCGCCACGCGTCGAGCCTCTGAATTGTAACAGCCTCACCTACTTATTGATTGTAAAGTAGCTGATTTTGCATCCCACCAAAAACTCGAATTTAACCATACTAGAAAGCGTCGGATCGATTAATTTTCGGGTATCTCGTACTCCCAGGATGGCCCATAGCGAATTTGTATTTCGTCATTGCTTGCACAATTCCCCAAACCACCCACAGCGCCCTATTGGTACCGCCATTTGTGTTAATCTGCCTTGATCGATCGCGTCAAGGTCGTCATTGATCTACAAAAGTGGGCAAATTCCCACAGATCACCCAGCGTTTGGCTGAAACACTAAAGCTCTCGGCACGTGGCCTTGTCTTGTCAAACATCAGCGTGGGAAGGGGGGTTCTAGCGCCAGACAAGGCGTGTGGAGTTCCTAGTTAGAGGCTAAACATAACACCGACGTGACACCACCTGGTAACTGGATCAGCCCCACCTAACCTCCGATCCACTGCCCGCCAATCAAGTAAGACTTTGCAAATTAAATAGATGCATTTAAACCATGGGTTTTGAGAAGTCAGAAAACTCTCGTTTACATGGAAGTAATAATGCCGTTGCATATATGATTATCGATTACTAGCAGAGATAGGGTGCGCGGACGGCAAGTTTACGGCTTCATCGACCTCGCAGGTAGAGGGTCGGGGTAGTTGGCGGTGTGAAGAACGATTTCGTCGATGTCTTCTTCCTTGAGGCCTCCCGGCCCGTTGCAGCGGTTCAGCCAACAGCGCCCCTGACGGAAGGCGTTGTGAGCCACGTGATTGGCTATCGCGTAGGAGACGCTGCGGATCTTGGACCATGGTGGAAAGAGGTTGCCCTGACACAGCTCCTCGTCCGGGACGTTCTCGGACAGCGCCTGGCAAAAAGGCAAAGGCTCTATCGATCAGGGGACTGCACTGACACCCTGTACTCTACTCCATTTATCGATGCGGCTTTAAAGGGGTCAGCGAAGAAGATAACATGGCCTTCATTACTGAATCCGTTCAAAGTTTCGCCCAAATTATCCACCAAGACAAACAACTTTACGGTTTTTTGCAAGTGAAAACTTGATTTTGACGAAGGTCACTGGTTTGTTCGTTGGAAGCGAACAGACCGTGATAGCAACAGGTGACTTTGCGTAGTTTATCCATTCCTATCTTATTGGCTCTTACAAGGCAACAATTTCAGCTCAAAACAGTGCATTTAAACAAGTAAAAAGGGCGCGATTCCCACGAACCAATCACCGTCACGCCTAATGGGTAGGCGAGTACGCGGCTGCCAAATGGACAATTAACGCGGAGGAACGATGCGCGGCTGCTATTGGCTGCAATTTTTAATTACCTCAGCAGCGACGATAAAATCGGACTCCGTGACTGGGTGTATCTTCGTGGCGACGATGCCCAGCACCATGCCCGGGAAGATGTAGGCGTTGTTTGCCTGGCCGGGCTTGCGGGTCACCGAGGTGTTCGGTGGAACATCGCTGGGATCCAGACGCAGCGGTGGAAAGGGACTGCCGCTGGCGAAGATGCACGATCCCTACAGTGCGCACCACAAACGCATTAGGTGCATGAGCATACAATTGGGCTCAAAACAAACATATATATATATATATATATATATATATATAT